CCCCTCTTCCCCGGCCTCGGTGCGCCCCGCATCTTCCTCCTCGGGCTCCTCTTCTCCCTTGCTGGCCGGCTCCACCTCCATTTCTGCAAAGAGCGGGCAGCACCGAGGCGCCTGGAGACGAGCTCGGCCCGGTGTCCCCTTCACCCCTCACACCCGGAGGTGCGTCCTCTGCCCGGCACCGGCAGGGAAGGACCCGGATCACTTGGGTATTTGCTACTCGGACGTGGCGGGTGTGAGCCTCGGCGGGCCGGAGATGGGCACTTTGAGCCAACAGCACTCGGGGGTGCTGTGGGCAGCAGCGTGAACCCTGCCCGGTACCCGGACATGGGCAGCAGCAGAATCTCCGGGACTGCGGCCAGATACCCTGGGACTCTAACCAAGATACACAGCTCAAGAGTCAAGAAGAAAAAGGCCGAAGGGAACCGTAGCTACAAGGGGTTGGCTGGAGGCAGGACTGAGAGGTCCAGGGGCCCCGGGAGGAGATGCGCGCCAGGGATGGGGCCGTACCTTGCTCTGAGCTCTCCGACAAGGCAGCCTCAGCTTCTGCTGCAGCCATACCACCGGTGGGGTCCGGCTTGAGCTCCACGGGCAGGGGCTCCCGGGGGGCGTCGGCCTTTTCTGTCTGCTCCGCACCTGTGGCGGGAGGGGCGAGCACGGAGGCTGGACTGGGAGCCTCTGTCCAGGGGCTGATGGCTCTCCTAGACCAGGCCCCCGGTCGTGGCTGGAAGAGACTCCTCAGAAGAAACACAGGGCTGTCCGGGAACATGGGCCCTCGGGCCGTGTGCCTCCCTGCTGCGGGCCCATCACCACCCTGGGGCCCAGGCTGCGTGCGGGCAGGTGACGGACAGCTTCTGACTTCCTGCCGCCCACCCCTCCCTGCAGGCAGCCAGCCATTTCCCAGATTACAACTCACCACTGGCAGTGCTCTCGGCCTGGCCGCCCCGCTCCTCTTTGAGCTCCCCGCCTGGGCCTGGGGGTGCACAGCTTCCAGCCTGGTCCAGCCTGCTCAGCCTGGTGGCGGCAGCCTTTTCTTTGGCTCTCCGGTCTCCTCCTGGAGGAGGAGAGAGCTGCCATTTCCCATCAACTGCCTCCACTTGGCTGTGGTCAGGTGGCCTAGAACCTTCCATCTCTTCTGGGTGTCCCCGGGGATACATGTGAACCGTGGTCACTGGTCCCCGAGCCCCAACTCTGTGCCTGGCTGCCACTGAGAATGCAACGGTGGTATTTCCTGCTTGTGAGGGACGCAGACTGGTCAGGGAGACAGACCTCACATGTGCAAAAAAGGACACTCAACAAAAGTCAGTGCTTAGGCCAGGGATTTAGCTCAGCGGGGCCGCCGCCTGCCTCGCGAGCGCAAGGGCCCAAGTTCCAAAAGGGGGCCCAGTACCAAAAAAAAAAAAAAAGTGCTTAATGGAAAGAAACATGGTCTCCTGAAAGTATACAACTGAGACTCTGGCCACAGCGGATGTGCACGTGCTTCTGAGGACGGCAGGGAGGGGAAGGAGGCTCGGGAGAAGATCGTTGTGGCAGGGTCAGGAGCAAACCGTGCCCCCACACAAGCAGTGACCCCAGCACAGCTCCTCCTCCTGTGGTGGTGAAAGGCAGGAAGGGGCAAGCACAAGGACCACTCTCAGATGTGCCCAAGGCCAGCCTCCACCAGCACCCTCCAGGAGGGTCAGGTAGCAGAGGCACCCCAAAGAGTCCGAGGCAGGTCCCCATGGAAAGTGGGGTCTGGGACCACCTGCTCAGAAACAGCTTCCTGATAATCTTACCTTCTGAAGCTGGGGCCTCCATATTTTCCCCAGGGCTGGTGACTGGTTCAGCGAGTGACTTGAGGGTGTGGCAGGCCGTGACGATGTCCTGCATCTGGAGGAAGCTGGCCACAGCCAGCACGTCATCCACGTTCTCAGGGCTCAGGCTCAGCTTGGCCGTGTACATGAACTCCAGCACCTGCCCCAAGCCTGCCAAGGACAGGGTGACCATCACAGACCCACCTGAGGGCCTGGGACCAGCAGCCCACTCAGCCCCTCACTCGGCAGCAGGGCTGGAATTCTGGAAAGCTAAGCGGGGAACCTCCACCGCCATCTCCTGAGGGGCCCAGCAGAAGCCTCTGCAAAGAAGGCTACTCACGGGGACAGAGGGCATGAACGCCATCCTGTAGCAAGGGCAAGGGGCAAGAACGTCTGCCCCGTACACCTTTGCTGCTGTACTCCATCCCTGGAAGACACTTCAGTCCGACCGCTCAGCACTTCCCCTGGCTCTGGTACCAGCTGTCTGCCTGAGCCCCGGGCCCGTCACCTGAGCTCCATTACCGTAGGGTGGGAGAACAGTCCCTGCCCTGACATCTCCTGTCACACCATTCTAGCTTGGGAACCCACATCCCGGGCCAGCCCACCCTTAGTGCCAAGGCCTAACTCCAGCTGTGCCTTCCCCTCAGTCCCCAGCGCTGTCCCCACACTCCTGGGCAGCGCGAGGGTAGGGCCTCTGGGACCTCGATCCACTCTGCCCCTCGTGACGTAGCTTGCCCCACGCTCCCCGTGGCCTGGAGCTTAGCACGAGCCCTTCCATCCAGGACGCCCCTCGCCAGCCCACTCCTCGTCAAAAGAGGCCCCCAGGAGGTGACAGGAATTTGGTACACGTTCGGGATCTGAGGCTTGTGTGGGAGGCCTGGGGCACCCCACAGCCTGCAGGTGCCACCCGGGAGGGTCTGCACGGCTTGGGGCCACCCACAGCTCCTGGCCCCAGAGGGGTACCTGCCGCGTTACTGATGTCCAGGTGCACCACATCCTTCTGGTCCACGAAGAGCATCTTGAAGTACTCGCTGCACGCTGCCAGCACTGCCTTATGGGCCTTGAAGTTAACACCATCCACCACGAAGGTGCAATCACACAGGAGCCCCAGCTGCCGCTGCTGGTTCAGCTGTTCCAGGACATGATGGCTGTGCTGGGGGAAGTCCATGGCTGCAGAGAGCCAGAGGGCCTCTGTCAGCAAGGAGAAGGCAGGCCAGCCTGTTTCACCTGTCAGCCCCAACTCCCAGAGACGTGCAGTCAGACAGGGAGAACTAGAGCAGTGGAGAGGCATTTCGACCACCAGAGGCCAGGTAACTGTGGACACCTGCTACAAGCCAGGAGGGACCAGCGGCTCCTAGATTCCCGGATCTGCTAGCAGAAGTTCCTGAACCAAAAAGCAACAAGGGACCAACATAGCCATCTCTGTCTCTTACCAGGTAATGAAAATAAAGAGTAAAAAACAGCAAACACAAAACATCGATTGCTGTCATCTTTTCAACAAAGGAAGGACATGGTCAGTCCAACATTAAAAAAAAAAAAAATCACATAATCTCACAGTGAAGAATGGATGTTCAAGGCCAGGGATGTAGCTCAGTGGCACTGCGCCTGCCTTGCAAGCACAAGGTCCTGAGTTCAATCCTGGTACCAAAAAAAAAAAAAAATCCAAGAACAGATGTTCAGTTGGACACGTTTAGCTTTAAGAAGGCCTATGTTGTTCATGTTTTTCTTGTTCTGTCATGGACTGATGAGATGTTTGTTTGGGGAGATAACAAGGTGGCTTTTTCATCCCTGGGTGTTTCAGAACCCCGTCTCTCTCCCACTGGGCAAATCCCTGTACCCATATAAACTGGGGGGGGGGGCAGAGATTTAGTGCAGTGGCACCACACCTGCCTTTCAAGCACAAGGTCCCGAGTTCGATCCCCAGTACCAAAAACAAAACTGGGTGAGGGGCCTCTTTCTCTCTGACTCACAGGTGCAGGGTAGGACACAAGGTTAGGAGTGCCTCGCCTCCAGAAACCTGTCCTGGTAGCTTTTTCGGAAGAAACAGGGAGCTCCAATCCTGACCCCAAAGAGCTGCTTGCCTAGCCACCGTGTCAAGGGCCTTATTTAACACCTGAAAATCCCACAACCGTCTCGGGCAAATGCGTTCTGCAGAGCTCCCGTGAGCTGCGCTGACCACGACGAAGCATCTCCGCTGCCTGGCCTGCTACTGCCCCAGCACCACTGCAGAGTCAGGCTGCAGAGCAGCGATTTCCTAGGGAAAACAAGCAGGCTTTTCTAGAAAGGACCAGCTTTAGAATGGTTCACAAGGAAAACCAGCACCGTCTGAGCTCACAATGCACAGGTCAGCATGGCGGGCTGCCCAGTGCTGGTTCTCTGGCAGCTGCTCTGGAACTAGGTCTGGACCTCTGCCCTCTGGGAGGTGACAGTGGCGCCCCGGGGCTTGGTCCCCAGGCTGCAGCAGCTCTGGCTGCTCCGTTACATCAGCTTCCTGCACGGAGTCACTGGTGCTGCAGCGGGAGCCACCGTAACCACGTACGCTGCTGTGGGGATGAGGTGTGGTGAGAGCCAGGCCCTGTGTGCCGGCACAGATCTACCTACCCGCGGTATCTGGAGACTCTTCAAATGTGTGGGCACGGCCGTAAGGCCAGCACCCTGTGAGGATGAGGCAGGAGAGCCCAGCCTGGACAACTTAGCAAGGCTGTCTCAAAATAAAAAAGTAAAGAAGGGTTGGGGGTGTGGCCCAATGCAAAGGCCTTGGTTCAGTCTCGGTACTGAGGAAATGTATCTGCTAAGCTTGAGGAGTCACTCAGCAAGTGCAAGGGGACATAGCACCGCAAATGGGAGCCCCACGTCACCCTGAGCTGTGAGTTCCTGGACGCTGCTGCAGGAGACCTGGAGGACCCTTCCCCCTCCCCTTTCCCTCCACACACACGGCCCAGGCTGGGCCCTGTCTCTGGCCCCGCCAGTTCTACTCCTCTACTGTTGCTGGAGTGCTGGAGCTCTGATAGCCAGAGGCCTCCTGTCCGCTCAGGAGATCTGTTCCAGAGCAGACCAGGTACAGCAGTGTGGGCCACCTGGGGCAAAAGCCACCGCAGGCACAGCGCACCACACCGAAGTGCCTTTCTCTAAGGTCTTCTGTCCTGAGCCTGGAGGGCCAAGTGCCCACTGAGAGGCTGAAGGAATGCTAGGGAGACTCTCAGCTGTGCTCTTCCCGAGCCTTGGACATGCAGAGCCCGTGTCCAGTCCCCGGGGGAAAAGCCCTTGCTGGGACCCTTGAACCCAGAACCCAAAGGGGGTACCCTCTTGGCAGGGTGGGAGGAGCCAAAAGCAGGAGGCCTAAGCTGAGATCCGCCTCCTCTGTGGGAAGGGCCGTGCCCAGAAAGAAGTGCAGGTGAGCAGGTCCCACACCCTCTGCATGCTGGGGAGCCCCGAGTGAGCAAGCCGCCCAGCACAGAAAGGGTGGGACACGAGGGCCCCTCAGGGCAAACCCTCAGTTTCAGAACTTGCAGTGAGGTCCAAAGCGGCCCACTTGGAGGGTAGGCCCTGAAAGCCGGGCTGGGAGGGAGCACCTCCCGGGCCCGCCCCGGAGAAGCACCTGAGCTCCGCTGGTGCAGCCTGCGATCTACTTTGCCAAGAAGAGAAAGGTGAGGAAGACCAGGCGCAGGGCGGAAGCCAGGTGACCCACACACCACTGTGTCCCTGCACTGTCCCTCTTCTAAGGCAGGGCACCCCAGATGCAGGGACGAGAAAACCAGAGGCCTTTCAACAACACCCCACAATGGAGGATCTGCCCCAGTAAAATAGAGAAGGAAAGAGAAGCCAGGCACGGTGGGGCCCACCTGGGATCCCCCACTCTGGGAGCCCAAGGTAGGAGGACTGCAAGTTGCCAACCTGGACAATTGACTGACTTAACAAGACCCTCTCTCAAAATAAGATATTAATAAAGGTCTGGAGATGCAGCTCAGTGCAGAGGCCCTGCATTCAACCCGCAGTACAGAAAGACAGAAGAGAGGAAGGGAAGGAAAGGAAAGAAAAGGGAAGGAAGGAGAAACAGGTAAGAAGATAAGGAAAAGGAGAAGAAAGCAAGGATGGAGTAAGGGACGGAGCAGAGAAGAAACAACACCCTGTTCCAAGTGACGGATAAGCAGCAGCCCAAGTACCAGCTCCAAGCACACGTGCACGAGGGCCATGGGGCACCAAGTGCGGATCGGTGTCACCCCAGAACAGCGCTGCCAAGCACCTCCCTCTGGTGAGCACCCGTGCTACCTCCAGCAGGTCGACTTCATCTGGGACTAACGGGCCATGGCCAGGGTTAGAGCTGGCACGCTCTCCTGTGAGCAACAGCCTGGTGGGGCCTGGCCCGTGGGCCTCTGCAGCAATTCTGAGGAGGACGGGAGCTGCCTGAAGGGCACTGCAGTCAGCAGACTCCAGACGGGCACAGCAGGCATCCCGTTGTCCAGAGGCGTCAGATATGGGCGGTGGGCCTGGACTCTGAGGGTGGCGCGACAGTCCCTCCTTCTCTGCCCAGTCCCCTCGCCTCCATGGAATCTCGGGGTGGGGGCCCAGCAACAACTCTGGGATGAGAGAGAGGATTTTCTGAAGTTCTCGACCCAGCTACTGGCGGAGTGCTGTCCAATGAATGATGGCAGCCAACACCCGGGGAGCAAAGCCACTTCCAAGACTGAAAACCAGAAATCGCTCACAGTGTTTGGGAGGTCTGCTGTGCAGCAAGGGCCAGCTGAAAACAGGTGGGAAAGTGAGCACGGGAGGCTTAGCCAGCAATCGGCGCAGTCTCGCTGGATGGGGAGCGCAGCAGTGTGGCCAAGCCACTGGGTGTCTCCTGTCCTTCACTCAGACACACCTACGCTGGTAAACACTCCCGGAGAGCCATTTCAAAGCTCAACACGATTTTAATAAGAAAAAAGAGAGCACCAAGACCTGGCATGTAAAGGTACAAGATCCCAGGAATGAATGGAACTGTACCGTCTACCTAGAATGTACCCATAAATTCAATTTAAAAGAAAAGAAAAAAGAGAGGTAAGAGCCACACTCGATGGAGTCCTGGCACAGGGACCTGGCAAAGACTGGCCACTCTCACCAGGGCTCTCCTGAGTCCCCGGGCCCGGCTGGCGGGACGGTGGGGCGGGGGGAGCTGGAAGAGCCGCACAGGCGCACACGGTGGGAGACAGGACAGCTGGCAGAAGTAACTCGGGCGTCCCGCAGGCCCACAGACTGTTTCAGGAGGACGTTTTCTCGAGAGTCAAGAAACACTCTGATCAATTCAACCGGCCTGCGACCCCGGCACTCGGGAGGCTGGGGCAGGAGAAGGAAGGGTTCCAGGCCAGTCAGGGCTGCACGGTGAGTTCAAGGTCAAGCACGGGCTACACAGCAACATGACCTCAGACACCGGGTTCCCTATCACACCGCGCTCAGTCTCTGCAGTGTGCCGAGCAGCACAGGGTGAGTGGTCACCTGGAAACGAAGAGCGCGGCCACTGTGGGTGCCAGTCCTGCACTGCCGCCTCCAGGAGGTGGGCACAGAGGGGAGCGTGGCACTGTGGAAGCGGTGGGTCCCACATCCAGGTACGTCCCCACTGCCAAGGGATCGCTGGCGAGCTTCTCCAGCAGGAAGGAGAGCGTCACACAAGCGCTGCGGCTTCATGACAGGGGGAAGGTGAAGGACGCAGGTAAGCAGGCATGAGCACCCGGCAAACGCCTGTTACCAGAGAGCGGACACGCAGACTACAATTGCCCCCAAAGCCACGGACCTTATCAGGCGGTGTCCACGCATTTTACAGCGGTGTCTCAGGTGCACTCAATAATGTTCTGTGACCTAAGGAGTGCAGTCATCACCCATCACCCCTCCCAAATGCAATGGAGCGCCGTCCCAGAGCACAGTTAGCAAGGGCAGAAGGAGGGAGTGAGGAAGGGGCGCCGGGTGCTGTCCTCCGTGGGGAGGCACTTTACAGGGAGCCACTGTTCTGAGGCGCGCCTGCCCGAGCACAGCTCCATCATGGAAGCCACACGGGCACCTGTCAAACACGAAACATCACCCAGTTATCAGCGAGCACTAAGTTGCGTGCGGGTTTCCATACCGCCCCGCTTTAGGCCAGGAAATAACTGGCCACTGCGAGGAGACACTGAGCTTGAGATCAGCACTCCCAGGAC